GTTTTCTTTAATTAATTTACCCTGAAGCAAGGCAATAATTCTACTAAGATGCAAGTAGTTACTGAGAGTGAAAGAATCTAAGAACAATCATTAAGGAAGGAGGACAATAAAAGAACAAGATTCAAGGAGACAGAAGATGATGATTGATATTGCATTTAAATTTTTGAAGATCAAAGTTGACCAGAAAGTAAGAAGCAGGAAGGGAGTTCCACAAGTGAGAATTACAAGAGAAAAACTTTTAGCATAGAACTTAAGGTGAGATGTAGCAATTTCAATTGTAAAATGATGAGACCTAGCTTCCAATCTAGCACTGAGCTTAAATTGGTAAAGTTGAGGTACCAAGGAAGAAAGCTCGTCAGAACAGTTACCATGAAAATATAAAAAAAAAGCACAGGAAGGCTACGTTTTGATATCAGGAAAATGATTGAAGCTGAGATAATATTGCTGATTCTGAAGATTTTCCCTATCTTTATTCCTTTTATGGAAATTAAACTCATTAAATACCAATATGGAACAAGGCAACAAGCATTACTAAATAAGATTCTCTGTCTATATTTCTGAGATGAGTTATTGTAACGATTTACTCATCTTTATCACCATATTTACATTTTGGCTGTTGTACGTTCTGGCCTTCTTCAGGTGATATTTCTTGGAATTTCAAGCCAAACCTTTTATTTAGTCCATAGGAGTAGATTGTTCTAATTCCATATGACATGCCTCTGGATATCTGTTTCAGATAATTCCCTTGATAACTCTCCATGTTTTTGTTTACTCTGCTTCTGGCCAAGTATTGAACTCACAACTCTTTTGAGTCAAGTTACTTTTTTGGATCAACCAACCAACGTTTTATCTACTGGGCCATGTGTCCTTATGTAAATAAAAACCTTTTGTTAATTTATTGAATTCTGTCTCCAATGACAATGTGATAACCTCGACATGGACAGCAGAATGAAAACAATCTATCCCAGTAGATTAAACAAAATTTAAAATTTTTTTTAATGGTTAACCAGATCGACCAGCACCTGATAAAAATCAGAGAGCACAACATTTAAAATGTTGTGATAGTAACAACAAAGATGAAGACAATGGTTCAAGTGTAAATAATGATAACTTCTCATCCCAGAAATTAATGTTTCTTGTTGAATCTGATGCACATCTGATAAAGGCAAGTAATCTCACTGATCTGTGGTCTATATTAAAAGAGAAGTTGGAAAACATCTTTGTCAAGCTATGAATTTTTTAAGCATTGTTGGAAGCATAAAATGTATAAGATGTTGAGTCCTTAATCATGTTGTAAAACATGTCAGATCAATAACTCAGCCTCCTTTAAGAGATCTGCAAAGGAAATCAAATGAAAAGGGAAACAATACATGAACACTGATTGCTAAGCTGGTATTTTTACCCACAAGTAACATGTTACGCTCATCAGGACAGAGAGCTGAAGTAATGGATGGATAGATACTGGTGGAAATCTCAACATGTCAGAGAGTGTGATGTTTTAGGGGTGGGTATGTTATTTTCAGATACGGGCAACTTGTATATATATTTAGTATGTAGGGCACTCAGTGAGAATTAAAGTCAATATGGAGTAGTAATGGTTTATGTAATGAACTTGCTGATACCCTAATATTTAGTAAACCAGGCTCAGGCTGATATGTGGCTACAATCATGGCATTGGGACAGAATTCATTAAATTAATGAAAGGTCTACAGGAAGAGCTTGTTAGTGATCATTTATAGTAGGCACACCTATCTTTATAGATGGTAAGTACTGAAGAAAAAAAAGAAATAAACAAAGGATGACTTTGCAGCTAAATTAAAAAAATGGAACTTAAAATTCAAATGAACCAATAAAGGAAAAATGTATTTAAATATTTTTGTAGGGGGGTACAAAATTTCATTAGTGTGATAAAATCAATATTAAATGACGAAAAGTTATAACAAAAAAGAGTGGTGGTAAAAATATATTACTGTAAAATGGGAATATCAAAAGACAACAAACAAAAAAGCCAGCTACACCATATGCAGCCCTCTAAGATCAAGGATGAAATTGTGCACAGCGACTAAAAAAAATGTGAAAATCCCAAACAAATGCTAACAAGTGCTCAGCATGGCTAATTCTGAGTTTCGCTTGAAAGTGTTGAAATCTGTTTATATTAAGTTCTACTAGCCATCTCTCTTTAAGAAGACAGTGTTTGGTAGTCTTAAAAGTAATTAACCTGTGTTATATTTTCTCTATAACATTTGTCACTGGTTTTCACATTTTTGTCATTGATCTTAGTTGAGCTGCTAGACTAATTCAGCTGACTTTTTTGTTAATCATTGCTGTATTTTGATATTTCCATTTTACACTAATATATTTCTTGTTACCAGCCATTTTTGTTATAAATTTTCTTCTTTTAATATGTTTGTTTTTATTGCACTAATAAAATATATTAAATAGATTTGAATATTCTTTTCTGTTATTTTCTATTTTGTAAATCAAGTACTACCAATGTCCCATAATAGTTGTTATATTTGCATACACTAAATGGAACAGCTATTCTAGGAAAGAAGTGGCAAAACATTAAATGCAGCCGATTCATAAACAAAATGGCATGTCTTGTGGTTGAGATAGTTGCCTATACCCCACTTTTGTTAATGTTCAAGACCTAGAAAAGATCAAAATTTTGAATGCTGATTTCGAAGGCTATCACCATTTTGGAGATTGATGCAAATATTACTTCTTATTTCAACTTGTCTTGGATGAAGCTAAGTTTCATATGTATCCACTCAAAGGCAAGATTATTCAAGAAAGTAGATTTTAATACTTAACCCAAGTTTTAGCAGCTTCCAAATAATCATTGCTTAGTTGAGTTCATTATAACATTGGGGTTAGGTGACAACTTGAAGAAATAAACTGAGAAAGGGAAAAAAAAATTAACTTTTCAATTTTTTTTTATTACAAAATGCAGCTAAATAAAAGAAGAAATTTTTTTTTTCAAATGCAATACCCCTATTTGATTTTCCTCATGAGGAAAGGGGTATAAAAAAATGAGCAATTATTGTCTGATTTAATAAAGACAGAGGAAGGAGCTAAAGAATAAAAAAAAGCAAAAAGGAAAGAAAGGAATGCTGTAAGTTTGGCTCTTCTTTGCCAGGAAAAGAGAAAAAAAAAAAAAAAAACAACAACAGAGGTGCTTCAAGTCTTGCCAGTAAAAATGTCAGAAGGCAAAGAACAATTTTATTGAAGCACATTGGAACAAAAAAAAAAAAAAAATTAACCATGGAAGGATTCTTTCCCCAGGTATATATTTCTTTAATTTTTTTTTTGTGTTAATTTTTAATAAACACTTTTTTCTTTTTTATAAGCTTATAGAATAACATCAGCTGCTGTTTCTAAATTCTTGACTCAGGAAATTGTCTCTTACCATAGAGGTGTGGGAGAGTCCTTGATTAAAATCAATTCTTTTCCACCAGATAGGTATTTTTCAACCAGATCTTTGATCAGACATACACATATTCTAATGTGCAGCCATTACTGGTCAACAATATTTTAGATTTTTATTTATTTAAGGCATTTAAGTGTGTTAAGTGAAAGAAACCTTTTGAGTTATCCTTCACAGAGTGTATAAAGGACAGTAGGGTGTGTAAGCCTTTGGTAAGTTCACCATTTAAGGTTATGCTGGAGGTTCTGGGCTTGCAAATGATGCTAGCACTTCTTGGCTGCATGAACATTTTTATATGCAAAGAAATATAGAGGCAGACATTGGGAATTGTGTACGTATCCTTTGCTGAGAAAATTTCTGTTAAACTTTTACAAGCCAAAAAGGGGATGAAAAATCAAAAACTCTCATTCTGTGTAGATGGTGTTCTTAAAGTGATGGATTTACAAATAATTTCTCAGATGAATAAATGATATGGCACTCTTTGGTAGGTTTTCATGAGGAGCACAGCAAATGTGGCTTGGTATTTTATCATGAAGGCATTCAGTACACTGTGCTTTACTATGAGTTTTGGACCAAAAATGCAATGTTTTAGTAAATAGAAAGATGAGTTAATTACAATGCTTAAGGCCAATTTCTTTTTGATCAGGTGCAAGATAAAAGTTTGGAATGGCTTTTTCTGTCAGGCTCCACCAGCTGATTTCAGATCAGGATTTAGTTATTGCAGGCATGCAAAATAGACATTTGAATATATATATATATATATATATATATATACACACACACACACACACACACACACTGGTATTTTGTCTTTACCGTTGGAGAGAGATTTGTTTTCATACTTCTCATCAAATGATTGTGTTTCGCCAAATACAGTCAAGTTATTTTCTTTCATCTTTACCATCACCTTTTACTTTTTTTTTTTTTTTTTTATAAAATCACTGTCCCTTTTTTAATTTAGCCCTCAAGTAAAAGTGGCTTAAGGGATAATTTTTATTTATAACATTTTTAATTTTTTTTTTTTTAATTAAATAAGCATAAAATTTTGATTTGAATTTACAAAGGAAAATTAAATTTCTGAAATTCTACAAATTTAATAGCAACAATGTGTTTTTTTGCATGTTGCTTCACAAAGCCCAACACTTTGATCTCAGTTTGAAAGGCTTTTATAGGATACAGTGTTTGTGCTTAGTTTCATCTCTGGACAATTTTTGTTTGAGATTTTGAGAAAACTTTCTGTTTAAATTCAATACATTGTTTTGTTTTGTTTTTTGAAGTTGACTTATTTTAGGCTGTTTTATTTGACAAGCACAACTAAATCAACTGGACAAAAAATTGCAACCTGAAGATGCCAAGAAAATAGATAAGCTAAATGTATGCTTAAAAAAAAAAATATATATCACACGTACACATACACACACAAATTTATTTAATCTTCATTAATTTTAATCAATGTGAGCCACTTTAACATTTTTTAAACAATTTCAAAAGTTATTCAAAATTTGTAAATTACCACTTTAAGTCATAGCAGAGATAGACTTAGATTTTCTTTTTTTGTTGCCATATTTTACATTCAGGTTGATGGTCGCCTAGAATGTGTCTTTATATGGGCAGTTAGGTCAGCCACTTGGCTAAATGTCTGGCTGCAGCATTCAAATGTGAAGGAAACGGGAGTACTGTCTTCAATTTCTGAAGATCCACTTCCCGATTCCACCTCCTGCTTGTGAACCGAGCTGGAAGACTTGGACAGAAAGGCTTTCTGAATTGCTAAACAATCTGCTGGCTTCAAGCAGGAAATCAGATGTGACACAAATGATGGGGGATTATCAAAAACCTGCCCACAATGTTGACACTTGAGGTCACTTGGGTCAGCAACATGGGTTTGACGGTGTCGCAAAATCCAGCTTGCACCAAGGAAACATTTACCACAGAAATCACAAGGAAATTCGGTTTGGTTAGAACTTGGAGACATGGGATCAGGGGTTGGTGGAGGTAAGACAGGCATTTCAAAGCTAATCTTTGCTTCAGGATTCTGCTGCTGTTCATTCATTATTGACAGAGGCTTAGAATCTTGGCATTTATTGCAAGAGGAAACATGACTTTCCAAGTCTTCTTTGGTGTCAAATAAAAAACTGCAGTGCTTGCACTGGTAAGGAGAGAGAACCAGCTGCTTCTTTCCATCTGTTTCCTTCTGAGAATCTCTGTCAGTGAACTCTTCTGTTTTAGGCGAAGAGGCAGCTGATTCACTTTCAGATGACTTGACACGGTTTGGAGTCTCCCGCCCAGGTGACTGGGAATAACACTGAGACAAGTGGTCAGCCATTAAACCAGCTTGCTTAAATACCAAACCACACAATTGGCATGTGTAGTTGCATCCATCTATGTGTGTTCGACGGTGACGCATGATCCAGTTGCTGCCTCCAAACCTCCTCCGGCAAAAGTCGCAGTAGTACAACTTCTGAGTCTTCTCTCTGTTAGTTGAGACTAAACGGCGCCAGGAGCCAATGTATCCATTCTTGCCATATGATGACCAATAAGTGGCCCGACTCCGGTTTGGTGGCATAGAGGAAATACGAGACATGCAAATTGATAGATGACCGACAAACACACTTGATGTGTAGAAAACACAGTCACACCTCCGACACCGAAATATACCTTCCTCCTGTTCATGTTCCTGACGATGTCGCATCACTGCATGCCTGTGTGCGAAACTTTTATCACAGAAATCGCACCTGTAAGGTTCTTTTTTGTTTGGGGAAGGAGATTGCCACAAACTGTTGGTGTTCTTGTGCTGAATCTTGCAACAGGTCAGGTGACATACAAAATCAGAAGAGTTGGTGAATGCCCGGTGGCAAAGACGGCACCACAGACTACTCTCATCAACGTGAGTAAGGCGATGCGACAACAGTGAAGAGTCTGTGGCAAAGGCAGCCTCACAAAAATCACATGGAAACTTGGAATTTTTACTGATTAGATTTAAGCTCTGGGTGAACTTTTCCTTAGCATTTTTGCTTGAGTTATTGGAAGACGGGTGGTCGGATGGTATCATTTCTGTTTTGTTGTATTCTTTGCCATTTATTTCTGTTTTCTGTTCTTTAATGTCTTTCTCTTTTGGACTTAACTTCTGTTTCTCTGGCTCTTTTAGGCCATTGGCTTCAACTCGCAAGTCTGTTGGCATCCCTGAGACTGACTGATTTTCAAATTGTCTGCGATTTCCATCCCAGACAGAATTGTGGTTATCAAAATCTGTCAGGGGAACTGTGCATGTCATTTGCTCATGACGTGACGTGCGCTCAAATGAGCCTTGAGTGATGTAGATTTTCTCTTGGTACATTTTTGGAGTCTCAATAAGCGAAGAACCACCAAGTGAATTCTGCTGATGATCTTCTGGGGTGAAACTCTTACGCGGAGAAGTAGCTGAGAACCTGTTTGCTGAAGAAGGGGTAAAAGTCCGGAAAGAGCTAATTGATAAGTCCTGGGGTTCTAAATAGCAAGGCTCGACAATTTTAGAATGAGCCGGAGGTGCTGAAGAGAGACGCCTGCCAGGTTCATCTAGCCGTGATGACATAGTCTTCTGATTGCCATAAAACTCATTGCGGTTCTTGTTCGCTGTACAGTTCTTAAGATGATCTTGCAGACTTGCAGGACTGTCAAATCCAGCTACACAATGTGCGCAAGTGCCATCCATTTTCTGGTCCATGATGCTATTTACAGGGTTCTGTTTCAGACAATAATGGCAACGGTAGGTCACTGCTTCAGTGGCACGTTTTACTTCTGTGCGGGGGAAATGTCCACCACAGCGGTCGCACAAATATGTCATCTTGTCAGAAATGGGCACATGAAGCTTAGACACTTGTCCTGCTGAGGACAGGTGGCAAGTTGTCAGGTGATCTGCCATAGAACGTGCTAAATCAAAAATTTGGCCACATCGGTAACATTTGTAAGGCACATTGGATGTGTGAATGAGTCTGTGTTGCAAAATCCAGTTTGAAGTGTCAAATGTTTTACTGCAGAAATCACATGTGTATTTCTTTTTCAAATCTAATACACCCGCTTCCCCATCCGACAGGGGTCGAGAGTCAGTGGATGGTAACACTTGGTTAGAGTTGGACCGCTTTTTGCAAATACTTAGGTGCATGCCCATTTCAGAAATGGCAAACAAATTGCCACAATTTCTGCACACATGTGCCAACTCCTTGGTGTGAAAACGTCGATGCTGCATCACCATACTACAGCTAGCAAATCCTTGGCCACAAAAGTCACAGGTGAAGACCTTCTCTGAATCGACTCTTGCTCTCTGTTCCTTGAACTGGTACTTCATTTTAAAGTCTCTGGGTTTAATAATTCCATTTCGGTTGGGATTTGTCGTTAAGAATTTTTGATTATTAGGATTGGCTGAACAACAGGCAAGGTGGTTTGCCATCTGTTTTGGGGAGATTAGTGTTGTATCACAATGCTGACACTTTGTAAGTTCTTCAGGTGTGTGATACTTTCGGTGTTGGATAAGTTCCTGAACAGATAAGAAGGAAGCAGAACAAAAGTCACAAGAGACAGCTGAAGATGAGGGGAAGACAAAAGGACTTGAAATGTTTTTCTTGGGTTGAAAACCACTGTTTATGAGATTTGCTTTTATCCACCGACAGGAAGCAAGATGTCGTGCCATAAAGCCAGCTCCCTTGGTTGAAAACTTACAAACACGACAAGTGTAATCTTTTTCGTCTGTATGCTTGCGACGGTGACGCATTATCCAATTGCTTCCACCATAAGTCTTGAAACAGAAATCACAGTAGTACTGCTTTGGCACCATCGGACTTGTGGACGAGCTTGCTTGTGAATTGGCATAGCAGCATCGTTCAAGGTGCTGACATACCTCAATACATTTTTCATATTTTTTTCCACATCTATGACAGCTAGTTGAAAGTGAATGCTTCCGACGGTGAGAGAGCAGGGTGATAACATCAGGAAATTTACTGGGGCAGTAGTCACAGGAAAACTTAGTTCCAGTTGGTCTAACATTGGGTTCTTGCCAAACTTGGAATTGGCCTTCTGGAATTTTGGGAGGAAGAGATTTATTTTCCATATTAGTTCTGTTTAAATACTGAGTCTTATCTGAGGTGGGTTCAGCTAATTTGTTTTCATTTTCTTTCTTGATCATGCTACTAATTTTTTTCCTTTGGACCAAGTCAACTGGAGAGGATGTCTTTCCAAGGCTGTCAAGCTTCTTGGAACAATCGAGTGCTGATAGTTCTTTCAAAGATTCTTTAGGACTCTTTTTAGTTTTATCTGCAGAATCAGGACGCAAAGAAAGATTAATAGGCGTAGATACTGCTGCAAAGTTCTCAACTTTAACACAAGCAGGCAAAGAATGATCATTATTTAGTTTTACTGGTTGTGTATCGCTTGCATTCAAGTCAACCTTGTTTAAGAAAGAATTTTCAGAATTATTGTCTTGTACTGACTGGTCTGAAATTGGGTTAGTGTCATTGTGTGTGTTGGGATTTTCAGTGGAGGTTCCTAGTCCAGTTCTTGTGATCTGGTCAGCTGTGTTTAATAAAGTAGGTGAGTTATGGCACAATCTCAAATGCTGGCTTATCTCAACAGATCTATTGAATGAACACTTACAATTGCGGCACACGTAAGGAAATTCAGAAGAGTTGTGACTTCGCCGATGTCTCATTACCCAGCGGGCTGAGGCATAATTCTGACCACAGATATCACACTGAAAACTCCTCCCATTCCCATCCTCTTCAGCTCCTTCAGCTGTTGTAACAGATGACTGAGACATTGCAACTGATATATCCTGTGTCTTGGGACAAACTGACAAGTGCTTACTCAATTCTACCGACCTGTTAAATTTGGCTTGACACCTTTGACATGTCAAATTTTCACCTCCCTCATGCTGTTTGCGGTGTCGTATCACCCACCTGCCGCTGGCAAAGCTCTGTAAACAAAAATCACATGGAAAAACAACACTCTCGTCTTTGCTCTCGAATGATCGACATGCTTCTGGTTGCATACCATCATGGCTGGATTCTTTTTCTGGACCATCAGGTTTAGAAGCCTTAGAGTCTGAATCCGACTTCACAGCACCTGTTTCAGACTCATCATCAACCAATGCACATCCAGCTGCAAGATGGCGACCTAACTCAACGGTGCGATCAAATGTAAGAAAACAGATCTGACAGGTACAGTCATCTGTGTGCTGCTGACGATGACGAATGACCCAGCGTATCGAGGCAAATCTCTGGGAGCAAAAATCACAGCGAAACCTTCGTTTTAGCACACTGTTTCCATTCTCTTGTTCAGCCTCCTTTCCTTTATCAACTGTAGCTTTCACAATTGTATCCTTTCTATCTGCCACTACCCGAGAACTTTGGACAGGTGTCTTCCTTACACCCACACAGTCTGCCAAATGCCGGCCAAAATCAGCTGATTTGTCAAAAGTTTCAAAGCACACCCGGCACCAATAATTGCCCAAGTCATCAACATGCTGCTTCCTGTGACGCATGACCCATGACACAGAAGCAAAAGATTGGGAGCAGAAATCACAAACAAATGATTTGCCGTTGGTTTTCTCAACAGGGAGGGGCACTGTCGACGTGCAGGCATTATTAGATAAGGAGGTGGTAGAACAGAAAGGTGAACTCGTTTCTTGCCGGCATTCAGCCAGATGATGCCCAAGATCAGAAGACTGCAGGAATTTTATTTGACAATTGTTGCACTTCAGCTGGGCTTCTTCATGCTTTTTGCGATGTCGCATCACCCAGGTAACAGACCCAAAACTCTGCTCACAAAAGTCACACACATAGTTCTTCTTTGGGTCTTTAGATTCAGCAGATGCATCTTCCGATATATCTTCCTCTTCATCACTTCTTGGATCCCAAGGTCCTTCTGCAGCTGGGACATTTAATAAATCTTCCTTAGCAGAATGGCTATCAGGTTCCTTTTTGGTCACTTCTTGTTTGGGTTTCTCTGGCAAAGATTCCACGACAGGAGTTGGTGGTGGCAGTTCATTCTTGTTCTCTTGTAAGGTGTTTGTATTTGAAATAGCTACACATTTTGGACACATACCTTGCTCAGGTTCTGTTGACTTTGGAGTAAACATTGACTTGCAGACAGAACATTGATTTTGGACATGGCAATTTGGGGATTTGCTTAAAAGAGGCAAAGTATCAATTTGGGGTTTCACAGGTGATGGTGCTTCAAGTACTTCCTTTGGAGACTCAACTTTCTGAGTCTTCTTACAAGGCGTTCTTGGGTCTTGGTCAGTCGTAGTATAGTCACACATATCAAGAGTAGCAGAACTCTCAGTTGCTGGAGATGAAGCAGGAGCCACATCAGTGTCACTTGAAGGAAACTCCACTGTTGGGGATTCTTTTCCCATGTCTGCTTCTTCCTTGTTGCTGCCACTGGCAGCAGTGTCAGTCATCTCTGTGTCCAGACTAACCTGATCCTCAGATGCTCGAGCTAAATGTTGGCCCAAATGTGTGCTGTCAGGAAATGTCTGCTGGCAGCAGTTGCATGTCAGTTTGGCTTCCTTGTGCAACCCACGGCGGTGTTCCATTGTAAGGGACAAATTCGGAAAGTTGTGATTGCAAAAATCACACTGGAAGGTCTTTGCAGACTCAAAATTCTTCTTGGTTGCTTTTTTCTTTTGTTTATTAAACAAAAGTTTTTGTCGTCGATGACGAGGCGAGAAAGGTCTATGATTAGAAGCCACTCTGGGACGTCTACTGTGATCATGAACATGGTCAGCAAGATTGGCTACAGAACCTAATAGCCGAGAACACTGCAAACAACGGTAGGCCTTTGCTCCATGGCTGGACCATCGGTGGAGATTAATATCATAAAGGGAAGAGAAAACAACTCGACACAGAGTACAAGTGTGCTGCACCTGAAAGAGAGAGAGAGAGAGAAAAAAAAATCAACCAAAAACTTCTACTAAGGCCAATATTTTATTTTAAGATCTTGTCCCAGTGTAAAGGGAGATCATTCTTGTATGCATTAAAAATCCAATTCATCTTAAACCAATGTGAATACGAGATCTTTGGGCAAAATTTTATACTTTTAATTCATCTTTTGTATAGATTTAACAAATGTCATACCTCTGAAGGGTATGATTACTAAAGTGCAGAATTAAAATTCACAGCATGATCATAGAAATGAAAGGACAACTTATAAAGACATACAGAAATAATTCTCACAAAGATTCTTTTAAGCTTATCCCCAAAATATGATAATCTACTTGGAAGTGACCAAATATAATAAATAAACTGTATGGTCATAAGAGAAAACAAAATCTTTGAAAAAGCAATCTTTTAAGTTGGGTAACCAGCCATCAAGTCCATAACGAAATCATGAGAGTTGTAAAGGAAACAGTTTAAACTGCCTTACGTTAACCAATCATCTTTCATGGGTACGAATGCATACAAAGCTACTTGGTAGAACTTTTTTTTACAAAATTTGCTGGCTGTTGACTCAAGAACAAAAAAGATTTACAGACAAGTATGCCATTTATTTGTTGCAAATGAGTTAGGGATTTTATTTCTGCTGTATTCAAATGCTGCATCAAGAGGGAAAGACAAGGATATCATTTTTTTCCAAGGACTTTGTGCCATCATGTACAATCGAATAAGTAATCCTTTGTTGAACATTATAGATATATAGAAACATACACAATAAATGAAGAGTCAAGTTTAATTAGTGAGAAAGGTTAGAAGCTAATAGTAAATACATGTTATATAAATTATATCTTATAAATTAAGCACATCGATATAGTGGCTAGCAAATAATCATCACAAGTCACTGAGTTTAATATTTATCATGTACACTACAAATGTAGCATTGTACCAGATATTGTAACTTCCAAGAGGAGATGATTGAGATTATAACCATTATTTTATCAAAATCAACAATTGTGAAAATCTATAAAAAATATTTTTAGAACAACTTTTTAAAAACTGAAATCTTTTTTTTTTATTTTGAAAAAGAAAAATTTAAAAAGATCAATTCAAATTGATGATCTGTTATGGAAAATTTCGCTTAAGATATTTTTTCTCTCCAAAACACAAAGCAAGTCTCCCATTAGGATTGAATATCTGGATAACATCTTGAAAGCTATGCTTATCATGTGATGTCATACAAGCTTTCTTGAGCAGTTAATAAAAAAAATAAATAAAAGAATTAACAACTATTTATTTTTTGCTGTTGTTGCATAAAGATATTTTTAAAATAACAAAAAACAAAATGTTCACAAATCCCAGCATCCACAAAATATTCTGATCAGTTGGATTGAAAATTTGTTTATAAAAGGCAAAATATCTTAAGTATGAAACAGGACTCCTATATACGAAGTATGTTCCATTTTTAAAAGGCAACCAAAATCTAAAAATTAGGCCTAAAATTACCTTTTTTTTCTATTTTTTTTTTTCAGGGAATATATAAGCATTAGTTTTAATTAATTTCTTTAAAAAGATTACTTTTCATTATAGTCTGGCTGGTAATATCTGCATGCATTTTTATTTTTGCTGGCAAAAGAAAAGAAATAAATATTTTTTTAGCAAACAACTTAAAGATTAGTAAAACTAACCGCAAATATTTTATAGAGTTTCTTGAAAAGGTACAGTGAATGATCAAATGTGTGGCTTGCTGGAGATTTCTCAATGAATGATATTTAATCTTAACTAGCCAAAGTTGATGGTAACCCCCTAAAACACTGAAAATACTTTTCTCCAACTTGCTTATGCCAGTGATTTTGACGTTTAATTAACAAATAAGTTAAGAAAAAGAAGTGGTGCAAAAAAAATTGTGACATAATGAAAAGCAAATATTTTATGTCATAGAATGTAAAAAACTGAGAAGCGCATGAAATGAATAACCAATCTTTTTTTTTTATAGGTGACACTGTCTTTGGAAGGAGGTTCTTTTTTTTTTTTTAGATTGCCTTCAGAGCATCACATGACTGGTTCAAACCAAACAAGGATTGCTGTCCCAATTGTGAATATGCAAATAGAGTAACTATTTACCAGCATGGAAAATGAAAGTTTAAATTCTTGCCTAGTCTGTTGCATTCACTTTCATACTAATGCTCTTGGGAAAAGTATGAACCTATCTCTTCCCCATTCAGCTATAGATTAAAGAGCAGGGTTCTCTAGCCTCATGTAGCAACCAGTCTAAGAGAAGGAAAACTCTGAGTTCCACATTATAGAGAAAGCAACAGAAAATCACTATCTTTCCCAAGAAGCCATAACAATTCACAGATATTAGAAAGAAAAAGAAGCTGTGAAGAGCCATGATCACCTACATACTAAAGGGACAGTATTTAAAAAAAAAAAGAAAAAAGCCACCCAATGAAAGCTGAAATTGATAAAAAATCTCAATTGAGAATTATTTAAAAGAAAAAGTATATTCCTTCAGAATAATGCTTGACCACATGCTTTTTTTGGTGATCAGGCAAAAATTGCTACAAATTGTTTGGAAGGTTTTGACTCATCCATTTATTCAATAGATACTGCGCCTTTCAATGATGAGTCATTAACAAAATTCTCTTAAAAAAACAAACATTCAATTTACTGAGAGGCTGCAAAATGAGACAGGAGCAGTTCTTTGCTGAGAAAGATACAAAGTTTCAGGAGGAAATTATGAAGTAGCCTGAAAGATGGTATATAATAATGGACCAAAATGGTAAATATGCTGTTCAATTAAGCTAATGCCAAAATAAATAAATCTTATTTTTAATAAGACATAATAATTATTTAAATATTCTTAATTTATTTTTTCTTAACTTTAACAAATGTTTTCTCATATCCAATATGAATCATCACTGGTTGTCAAGAATTTGAAGTCTAACTAAAAAGCACAAAAATCATTAGTTTTCTTTTTCCTTTAATAAAATGATATGTAGCTGGTGATAAAAATAACAGGAGTTACACTTCATGATAAATAATTCCAACTAATCATGTAAAAAATAACAGATTTACTGAAAGAATATGCACTCCAATGACTGTGGCATAAAATCAGGTTCTTAGCAATGAAAATGTGGTCACAGCCATTAAAAAAAAAAAAAATGCATGCACACACACACATATATACATACATTATATATATATATATTACACACAGACAAATATACTTACTTTGCTTTGTTTATCATCAGCTGCTGTCAATACTTGACATTTGTGGTGCTGGAGAAGTCTCTGATCAGGAAAGGTTTTCAGACAGGCTTGACATTGGTAATGGACCTCTAAGAAGTGCTCTCTCTTCATGTGGACACAGAATTTGGCACGGGATTTAGAACTAAAGGTCACCGCACATACACCACATGTTAGGGGTTCAAGATAGTCCCCTGGGTCAGATTTACTGTCTTTTGCAGAGCGGCGTGGGGACTGACGGATGTGTTGCATGACTTTTTCAAAACGCCGCTGTTTGGCATTCTTAATCTCTTTGCTTTTATCTTCTAATTTTCTTTTTGGGGCATTTTGGGGTATCCCATTGCTTGGACTTTTTGTCAACATCATCATTCAATATTCAGAGGGAATCTTTATGGACTTGAAACAATCTCAAGGTGAGAAAATGCTGTCAAAAGAAAGAAAAAGCACATAAAATGGTGAGAAAATGTAACTTTAAATACAATATATAATGTATATGATCATGGGCATTCACTACGGTTAGCTCAATCTAACACAAGGGTACAAGCAGTTCTGACAAAATTCACAACTTTTATAAAGAACAGTGAAACTAAGTTAAAAATCATTGATCAGACATCCAATATATTAATGTTGATTGAAACATACATTTTCTGTATGTGTTAAAATATATCCAAGAGATTTTAACTTTAGTATTCACTAATACTTGTTCCACAGTGAGGCAATATATAAGTATATTTAAAAAATTTCCAACATTTTTTAAGATAAAATATTTTATTTATATAAACTCATTATCATTATTCAGCCATCAAAGTACTTTCTAATTTATTTTTTCCATGGCATTGCATCTAAATTTTGTATTCTAGTGTAAAAGAATGATTCCACTGCTGGTCAAATTCTTTGAAAGTTTTGAAAGCCAAAAAGAAATATTCAAGCAAAAATTGGTATCTGTTTAACAGTAATATAGCTGAAGAATATTCTGTATACAGAAGAACTACCTGTCACTGCTGCATTGCATTTAATCAACAAATATTGTCATACATGGATGTGAGGCTAGGAAAATTGTTGCCAGTTAAGAACGTGGAATGTGTGTGCCAAATTCTAATGCTGATCAAGTCAGTTACATTGACTTTAGCACAAATGTACTATAGTTCTCCTGTCTTGGGTGACTGACAGCCAGTCTAGGAGAAAGACAACCTTAAATTCAGTACTATGAAGACAATGGGAAACCAGTCCACTATTCATCTTTAACATAATTTCAATTCACAAATAGTAATAAAAGAGAGAAGCTGAGGAGATATAGCAGTGAAAAAAAACAAAAAACAAACCAAAAACACAGTTAAACAAACTGCAATATCAACAATAAACGTCCTTGAACCAGATAAATGTGTAATTCAGCAATTTCTCAGTTTTGTATAGCAACAATTTGTCCAGGTAACTTGAAGGAAGGATAGCATTTGAATTCTAACCAGAGGTAACTTCTTATACTATATATCAGTAGATACCATTTAATTTGAAAAGTAGGCTGTACCAGATCTAGTTATGATTATCTTTGCTTCAGATACTCATGAATTCATTTTTTTCTTCCACTGTTTTTTTTTCATGAAACCATAATGTTTATGAATATGACAAGGGTCAGATTAGTGCAAAAGTTATGCTTATTTTAAGAATGAAGCAAGATTCACCAGTTTACTTTGGAAAAGATGAAATTTCTAAGCTTAGGCTTATATTTCAAGCATGAAAAAGCTCAAGCTTAAGAATTTACCCACCATGACCAGACTTAGCTAAAATAAAATGATGTTCCATTGATGAATTTGTCCAAATTTCCTTTTCTGTATTAAGAATAATTTCAGTGCTGATCCAGGTTCTCTTCTGTAAATTCCAGTACAACCCAATTTTCTTGCTCCCCAAGCTTTGTAAGCAATACACAACACCTGACTGATGGCTGAAGCTATAAGGAGCTTTGTAAATTTGAAAGCAACTCTTAAAATTTCCTTAATATTATAGCACAGATGAAGCCATGAATTTTTCATCAACAAAATGTGTAATATAAATTGGTCATCTTTGAAGGTCATTAATATTCTGTTTAACAACAAAACTTGATACATATTCTGATTATTCAGTTCATTTCTTTGGTAATTATAACAAATTGTTACCTCTGGCATTTTAGTGAAAAAAAAAAAAAATTAAAAATTAAATCACCAAAGTAGTATGGGTTATTGTTACTGCATTATTACTGTAGGATAAAACACACAAATATTATAATTGTACTAAATTTTTTGTTATGTACTGTCGACAGAAGTGTGTGTGTATATATATATATATGTGTGTGTGTGTATATAAGTAATTACTATAAATATAATTTATATATTATATATGCATGGTATTTAATGGAAAGGACTCAATATTAGTAATAGTGGTAACATAATTGTATTGATGCAAGTTTGTGATCCTGGGTTTCATGCATATGCAATCATCAGACAAACTGATTTATTTTTAATTATTAAAAAAAAAAAAATGTTTGTTTGCAGATTGCAAGG